CTTTATGGTTGACTGATTAGCTCGAATCGAATTGCCTGCTTTTATTTGCTGCAACTTATTGCTGCAATAAAAATCTACAAATGCAATAAAAATGCAATTGACGTGCGTGCTTTGATATGTAGAAAAAAAAAAAAATTGATTTGATGCATTTCTATTTCTTTTCTCTGAGGCATCATTTTTGCTACTGATTTATGGACAATATATATTACACACATATATATATATATATCAGTTTTTGCAGGGTCTTCTTTTTGAAATAGTATAAGGCCTTAGATTTAATAAGAAGGTTTGCTTAACAAAATTAAGCACCCATTTTCTCAGGTTTTGCACCATCAGTTGCAGTTGTTCTTAATTTAAAGTTTTGCAGCCGTTTGAGATAAACTTTTTGCAATTTGCCAACTTTTTGGTAGAGCAGCGGAAGCCTTTCAGCATACGATTCGGATTACTTTTAGTAACCAACTTTAGCTAGCTTTGAAACCTAAGGAACATTTAATAGTAAACGCGATATATAAAATATTTAACTTACACAATTACATACGTTTATTCGTTTGGTATTTGCTGCAAAGAGTTCTATTATCAGCTTGCATGGAGCTCGTATCTATCCTTTTGTGTATGATATGCGTGTATTTGAGTACATAACACTTGCCTTGCGCATGGCAGTAGTCATTTGCACAAATGCCATTAGATTGTCAGAAATGTAGTTGGCTACTGATAAAGTGACACGCACTGATAAAGTGCGGCTAATAGTGGCAGGCACTGAGCCAGTGGAAGTGGCTGGCAAAGTTTGACAAATGGATTTTACTTTAGCTGTCGAATATAAATAGCTTGAGATAATGCCAAAGCTTATTATTAAATAAGAATGTTCGCGATTGCGGGCTGCCGCAAAAAAGTGTTGCCTACTTTTCTGCTGCTTATGAAGACTAAGTAAATTACTGGGAATTCATAAGAGCTTAACGTAAATCTCATTTCTTATGCACATGCTTAAAGCTTACCTATTTATAGTTGAATTTAACGCACAAAACCTTGCCGATAGCTGGCTTTGAAAGGGATTGCGCGAATTCGAACCGCGAGTGTATTTCGAGCTAATGGAGTGTCCTATCAGCTAAAATGCACAAAGAATTGTGCATATTGTTGTCGGCTTTAATCCTTTGTTGTTGACTTATTTAAGCTTGTAGCTAAACAAAAGACCACCACCTGCCATGCGTGCCTGTCTGCAGGGATATCAGAATCGCATAAACAAACTGCCATACACACACGCATGTATATGCATGTGTGCATGTGTGTGTGTGTGTGTGGCATGCATCAACAATGCAGCTGTTGCTTTTGTTAGCCGGAGCTTATATTGTTGGTTGGCGGTACCTTCTGTTGTTTTCTGCTCTCGTGCTGGGTAAAAATCCATATATTTGTGATCCTGACAGCGTTTGAGAGATGACACGTCACATGCTACACGCGTCGCCGCCCACTCTGCGGTCGTTCCCTGATGTAACTACTCCGCCTTTGCCCTGTTTGCTGGGCATATGCAAATTAATATACTGCTCCACTGAGTGCGGGAAGCGGGCTCTGGTCGCAACAAGTGGCGCTGACAATGGCGACGACTATGACGCCTCCGCCTGCTGTTGCCTGCGCACACATTAAGTTATAAACTGTGAGCTACGATATATTCAACTTATTGTAGACGCCATTTTGGCAATCGAGGCGCACACTTTTCACAAAGAGACACACAGACACAAATGTTGCTAAATGTGCGTGGGTGTTGCTTGGGCTTAAGCGTCTCACACGAAACGCTGCCCTCGGGGTCGCCAGGCGAGGCGGGGCGGAGCCACATGCCACATGAAGTGTCTGCTCGCCTTGTCTGACTTTGCTTTGGCTTGTGCTGCTGCTGCTGCCTGATGTCCGCGTTATCGCCCGCTGTGACACATTATATTTATAATACGTTGTGTACTACACACAGGCACACACACGCACACACACACAAGCGCACACACACATACATAGAGACAATGAGTGCTGTTGTCTTTGTGTGCTATGTGGCTATTTTTATTTATCTCAATCCACTCCAAGCTCGGTCATCAAGTTTATTTTTTTACTTTATTTTTTTTTTGCGCTGCCATATGTTTCATTTATTAGGAATAATGCAAAAATTATACCGAACTTCTAAAAATATGCCCTCAATTTAGCCACATGTGGCAGTTGGGATTAGTTTGCTTGCCTTATTAATTTATATGAGGCGCGCTATGTTTTTATTATCTTTCGCTGCCTCAAACCCCATAGTTGGTCGTCACCTCATTTAAATGGCAAAACAGCAGCACAGCTGAAAGCTGGCCAGCTGTTGCAGTACCCAGCGTACTTAACGCACAAATTAACAGCGCATAAAAATAGACAAAACCCTCAATCCTCAACCCGCACAGCACCCAAGAGAGGCTCTAGGTTATTGACAAGCTGACACTGGTTTTCGATTGACAAACCCCAATAAAATGAGCTGCTGAGCAGCCGGCAACTGTGTCCCTTTAATTTGGCCTAAGTAAACTAAAAGCGAGCTGCGGCTTCTGTTTGTCTCGCGTATCCCGTTTGGACCCTGGACACCAGCCTGGTGCCAAAAATTTCATGAATAATAAGTGAAGCATTTGCTGGCAAACATTTCAAATATCCCTTTAAGTTTCTTTGCCAACGATTTCTCTTTACAAAATGTTGTACATTTGAGAATGGCTTGTGTTAAAGGCACGGATAATTACAATTTAGAAGCTCTTTTAATTTCGTGTCTTCGTCTAAATTTAAGATATACTCCTTCATTCATGCCCCGCACACATTTAATTTGTGGTTAAATGGATAAAGTTGATTAAACTTGGCTTGGCTTTCTGAAATGTCGATGACCCTTCTATGCGATTTTCAAGGCCTTTTGGCTTTTTTCTTTGTAGATTTCTATATTTATTATGTTACATGTTTATGTCTGGGTAGATCGTTCCTTGACTAATGTTGGTGACCAATTCATTCTCTTTAATTTTCAGCTTGCTGAAAAACCTATAAAAAACGGCCAATATGCAAAGGCAAAGCCTTTTTTGGGTAGCTGATGAGTCGACAAAAGAAAAGCCTTCATCAGACACAGTTCCCTTTGCAATTTGCATCTAGGGCCTCAGGATACTTTGTGGCATAACTCTGCATAAACCCATGTTGCTTAAACACTGACAGCTGCTCAGGTTGTAAGAAGTAGGTTTCTTAAAATAGACTCGACTGAAAGTCGAAGTTGGTTTCAGCTGCCATTCTATATATAAAAGCGCGTTGGCAGCACGGCAGTTCTTTGTTGTCAAACATAGCTATCCGACCGCGGAATAGTTGGGATAGTCTCTGGCAAAGAAGACGACCCCAGGGCAACTGCTAATTATTCACAATCTGCGAGTGTAAGGATAACACAAAGGCTGCTCAGCCCTGAGCTGCTCAACAGCTGTCCAAGCTGTGGCCAAGTTTCCAATTTCACTCGACAAGTCTGGTCAAAAGGAAGGCATTGCCAGCATAACTTTCACTCGCTGTCTATCTTGAAAAGCAACACGAGCCACGAGGGATTGTGTACGAGGGAAGAGTAATACATAGACATATGCGACTCTGTGGTCACATTTGTGATATATATATATATATCTGCGATAATGTATATATTCTTTTATAATTTTTGGGTAAATTAAATGTTTAACCTATAAATTCTCTTCGACTTTAAAACATTTTATCTATAAATATGACGTAGTCAATTAGATTAGCTAAATTGGCAAGAAAGAAAAATGACCAGCAAGTGACTCGTCGCTGGTTCAAATCTCTCATTTTGCTTATTGCTTTTCATACATAAAAAAAAATTAAAAAAAATGAGTGTTAATAGTTTATATATATATATATCTGCGATAATGTATATATTCTTTTATAATTTTTGGGTAAATTAAATGTTTAACCTATAAATTCTCTTCGACTTTAAAACATTTTATCTATAAATATGACGTAGTCAATTAGATTAGCTAAATTGGCAAGAAAGAAAAATGACCAGCAAGTGACTCGTCGCTGGTTCAAATCTCTCATTTTGCTTATTGCTTTTCATACATAAAAAAAAATTAAAAAAAATGAGTGTTAATAGTTTCTATATATATTAAACCGTTTGTCCTGACGGACTGACAGACGGACAATACTCTGACTCGCATTGAGAGGCTTCTGGCCATATATGCAATATATATTTTGCTTCCTGAAGTTTCAAGGCTGAGCCTTAATTATACATGCATACTAAATAGAGTATGCTCAACTTTCTCCTGCTGATTTTTACCAAGCAGTTTGGCGGCTAAGTTTGATAAGGAACATTATTCGATTGCCTGATATCAGATAGATATCATGTGAACTGAACTTTGGACAAGTAAATTGTAGGCTTTTATTACTGTGTTGAGTAAAAAATGTCGGTTAATCGGGGCGTTGTTGTAGAGTAAAGTCAAAGTTTTTGGGCGCTGACATGCTTTAGAGGGGTCACAACGGGAACTTGGGTACAGCAGTTGGGGGGCCCGGCACATGCGAGAAATGTGCGTAACTCGATATGCTGTTTATTGGAATTACAGTGAGCGAAAATGGAAAATTACTAGTGCAACTAGAGTGGGCCCGGGCAATGGTGTGAACTCTCAATTTACCAAAGCTTAGCCAAGGACGTAGGCTAATATACGTAATGATGATGATTAGTTGTTGTTGTTGTTTTTGCTGCTGATGATGCTGCTGCTGATGATGATGATGCTGTGAAGATGATGCCCATGACTGGCAATTTAAAACGCAATTATGGGCACGCACAGCACATAGCTACTCCCAGTATGTGCGTTAATATGAGAGTAGTCGGGGAATAGCCAGCTAAAGTCAATTATGGCTCAATTATGGCTGACGCAGCGATGCGAGCGCCAAGAACACTGAGAGGGGAATTAATGTGTTAAGCTCAATTAGAATAAGAGTGTGGCACGCATCTAATGAAATGGTATTCTACTATTCTTTTACAGCTGGCAGGCGCCGATGGACACGAGTATCATTTCAAGCACAGGACACTACCGCATGCCCGTTCACGTCGCAGCCTGACACACACGCGTGCCCTTAAGAGTCATCCCTCGGTGAGTGTTGCTGTGAATTTCTCGACAGCTCGACAGTTTTAGCCATGTCACTGGTTTTTCTATGCTTCCGCCACAAAATGTCAAAGTTTACGCTTCCGCTGGCAGCTCGGCAATCAGTTGGCAAATTGTATTCAACCATATTGCATTGCATTCCAATTGGCAGCGTGTCCTTTCGTCCGTTACGTGCCAGTGGGCCAATGCCGATAATTACTATTCAAAATGCAACAGTCTGTTGGCAAACAATACGCACAATGGCATATGCAAATGAGAATTTGCTTTGTTTCGTTTTGTTTGCCTGTCTGCAACCAGATTCTCAGTCGTAGCCCGCACCCCGTACCGAATTTCATCATGTTTGTAATTAACATTTCCGAGTGACACGTATGCATAACCCACAGAAGCGGACGAGTGGAGGCCTTGAGAGACAGCCGCTGACAGCTGGCATTTCGATATTGATACATTTTTTCGCTTGCAACATTTCAACAGGTACACACGGCCGTTCAGCAGCCGGGCTTTAGGCGTGTCAAACGCGGGTTGAGACCTGCGATTCCTGCCATTCATGGTCTACACTATGCAGCTACGCTGGGCGAACCGAATAGCGTTGATGTGGAGCCCACAGATCCCTACTTTCCCATGCAATGGTATCTGAAGAACACCGGACAAAATGGCGGCAAAGTGCGATTGGATCTTAATGTGCAGGCCGCCTGGGCGCAGGGTATTACCGGCAAGAACGTGACCACGGCCATCATGGATGACGGTAAGCGACATGACTGAAGAAAACTCAAATGTAACTGCCAATAATATAAACATTTCAATTTCAATTCCATCCACTGTGCAGGCGTGGACTATATGCATCCGGACCTGAAATTCAATTATGTAAGTAATTGCGTATTCTCGTAAATATCGTACTCGAAAATAGTAACGCAATACGCATCCCTCTGTGCTGTTGCCCTTCGAAATTATATTTGCTGAGTGCTATGGTCAAATGGCCACAACGAAAAACCAATTTGTGGATCGTCCACAGTTGCGCAGTGGGAATTAATTCGACTGGCCGCAGTTATCAGTTTCCCAGTTTGCCAACGGCTGCAACTAAAATCGATATGCAAACTTTATTAAAATGACAATCTGATTACATTTTATTGAAAGTTCAATTTAATGCGCTCGAGAGGAGTCAGCAACGGATACAATTACAAAATAGCGTAAAGAGGGGCAATAGAGGCTTGATCAATGCGTGAAGATAAACAACTAAGAGGTTCTAATCGGGAGCTCCCGACTAGGGGATACCCTAAACTCTCTTCTTCCAACATCAAATGCATCTATATATTCTATTTTAGAAGCTATATTTCAAGTTTGGTAACTCTACCTCTTATTATTTACCGAAATTGGCAAAAAAAAAGGATATCGATATCGATTTTTATCGATTGCTTGGATCGGAGTAAGTTATTGATTATCGGAAACAAACTCGATCTGCGCAGACACTAGGAGCACCTACATCAAGTCTTCAGCTCCTTATATGTTCTGAGATCCTTGCGTTCACACATACGGACGGACGGACAGACGGACATGGCTAGATCGACTCGGCTATTGATGCTGATCAAGAATATATATATATATATATATATATATACTTTATGGTTTCGGAGATGCTTCCTTCTGCCTGTTACATACATTTGGATTTCGCACAAATAAAATATACCCATTTACCCAAAATTTACCCATTTTTAATGGGTTCAGGGTATAAAAATTGTTGGGGCCTTTAAGTCGAATCTGTACTGTAACCGCACGACGAAACAAGCAAGTGTTACAAGGGATACGAGACGAATAAGAATCGTTTCTTTTAATACTTTTTATGGTAATAACTATAGCTAGCTAGGCTTGATATAAAAAGGATGTAATACAAATCTTTTTATAGGCTGTGGGAGGCTTTTTCGACCGTGCAAGATATTTTCTTCATCATCATCAGCAGATAAGTCAATTTATGTCCTTCTGTCTGCCTGTCCATTTGTCTTGTCAAATGAACGTATAATTGCGTAGATCTCAGGGACTAACAAATAATGTAAGTTCTCATATGGTCTAGTATAACATAAACACAGTACGTTTGCTATATTCTGCTTGACGATGAGTTTCAATTTGCAGGTTGAAAAAATATGAAGGAATATGAATATGAAATATGAAGAGGCCTTACTTCAAAATGCTGTTACTTGTCTTCGAAAAGTGTTTGGCTATGAGCATGTTTCAGGGCCGATTCATTGTCTTATTTGCGAATTAAATAATGTTATTCTTTTGTATGCGGACTAAGGTAGTCCGAGTATACACATATCCAAAATGTTTGAATTTCTACCCCTTAATACTTAGTAATCACAAATTTTTGTAGGTATAGCCTACGTATTCACATATGCTTAATTAGGATTTATTGCAAACCGATGGGAGAATTGGGTACTGTAGCTCTAGGTACAGGGTAACTGCAAGCAAAGTGTTTCTTATAAGCAGGGTTCTATTTTATGAATATCTACGAAACATTAAACGTATGTGTATCGTTTATAATGGAATATGAATGTTGATTATGCGGAAACTTTGTATGCAGACTAAGGTAGTCCGAGTATACACATATCCAAAATGTTTGAATTTCTACCCCTTAATAGTAAACACAAATTTTTGTAGGTATAGCCTACGTATTCACATATGCTTAATTAGGATTTATTGCAAACCGATGGGAGAATTGGGTACGGTAGCTCTAGGTACAGGGTAACTGCAAGCAAAGTGCTTCTTTTAAGCAAAGTTATATTTTATGAATATCTACGAAACGTTAAACGTATTTGTATCGTATATAATGGAATATGAATGTTGATTATGCGGAAACTTATAGTGCTGTCCTGGCATGATAGAGTGCACGATTCAAGTGCTTTGCCAAATGAGACAGCAAATTGTAATTAACTTTAATTGGCAGCTAATAGGCAGCTTTATTTGGCAGCTTATGTGTTGATGAGACATAAAAATGCACTTAAAACTCACACCAAATCAACTATTTTGCCCGTGTGAGCGCCATATACCACTCTCTCTCTCTCTCTCTCTCTCTCTCTCTCTCTCTCACACACCTACACCTACTCACTCTTGCAGAACGCCGAGGCGAGCTACGACTTTAGCAGCAATGATGCATTCCCCTATCCGCGCTACACTGACGATTGGTTTAACAGGTAAGTTGTGCCGGAAGCCGAGCTGCTTTGGGACTTATACCCATAAACATCTTGACAATGGGTTGGGGTAACCGAAGCCTGGCGGCGAATGGCAATGATGTGGCCGTAAAATACTTTTCAGTTGCCAGCTTGGCATTTCGAATTTCAATTATGCAGAGTCAGCAGCTGTGCATAAAAAAGAAAATTCAAAACAATTCGCAAACAATTTTTATAAGTTTTCACTTTTATATTTCCTGTGCTTCCCTTTTCTTTGTTTTTCTTTTTTTTTTTTGTTAATTGTTTGTTTTGTTCTTGCCGCTGCGCATTTTGTTATTTGAATTGGCATTCGAGTTGACATTCGAGGGTATTTCGCTGAAGTTCTTGTTTGCTTTAGCAGCAGTTGTGTGCTTATCACATTTATTACATTCGCGGAAAGCCCCTTACCGCTAAGCCCTCGACACAGGCCCGCATCCAAATGCCGCGAATCTGACTAACATATTTATGACATGGTCACCCCGTTGGTCACCCTCTCTCACCCACTCTCCCCCCCTCTACCACTTTCACTCTTTCCCGCAGCCATGGAACTCGCTGTGCTGGCGAAGTGGCTGCTGCCAGAGATAATGGAATTTGCGGCGTGGGCGTTGCCTATGACAGCAAAATCGCAGGTAAGTGGATTTGGCAAGAAGCAATTACAGTACACAGGTAACACAGTGCAAAAGGAAAGGAGCAGACTTCTCGCTAGCGTTAATTGCGTGACTTCTAAGCTTTAACTACAAGTATTGCATCACGTATACGCCGCGGGAGCCAAGTAAAATTTAACATACATAAAATTCAGCTCGCAAAAATATGGAAAAATCAAGTGCTGTGGTAGAACATGCCACAAGTGGGCGAGCACATAAATCGGCACGAATCTTATCTGTCATTTTTAGGGCACAAGTGGGAAAAATCATGTGAAAAATCGGAAATATTCGATAATCGCACACATTGCGAGCAGTTTATTTCATATTTTTTACGATTGCCATAAATCGCTTGTAGTAAAAGTCCAAAATGCAGCGACTAGCAACAGTTGGCGGGCTTTCAAATAAAACACTATTGCCATTGATTTATAATTACGGGCATTAAGATTAATGGATATCCAACAGGCATACGCATGCTGGATCAGCCCTATATGACGGACCTAATCGAAGCCAACTCGATGGGCCACGAGCCGCACAAAATACATATATACAGCGCCTCCTGGGGTCCTACCGATGATGGCAAGACGGTGGACGGGCCGCGCAATGCCACCATGCGCGCCATTGTCCAGGGTGTCAATGAGGTAACAGTTACTTTGGATTTAGCTTACGATGCTCGGGGTGTTAATCGTCGTTAATTTCTGGTCACCCGTAGGGACGCAATGGTTTGGGCAACATCTATGTGTGGGCTTCGGGCGATGGCGGCGAGGAGGATGATTGCAACTGCGATGGCTATGCCGCCTCCATGTGGACGATATCCATTAACAGTGCCATCAACGATGGCCAGAATGCGCATTACGATGAAAGCTGCAGCTCGACGCTGGCATCCACGTTCAGCAATGGTGCCAAGGATCCCAACACTGGCGTTGCCACCACCGACCTCTATGGCAAATGTACGACCACCCATTCGGGCACCAGCGCCGCGGCACCCGAGGCAGCTGGCGTCTTTGCGCTGGCCTTGGAGGCAAAGTGAGTACTGGGCGTTCTGCTCTGATTTCCAACATCAATTTATGCTAATCTCAATTGCAATTTGGCAAACAGCCCTCAACTGACTTGGCGCGACATCCAGCATCTGACTGTGCTAACATCGAAGCGCAATTCCCTGTTCGATGCCAAGAACCGTTTCTACTGGACAATGAACGGCGTCGGATTGGAGTTCAATCACCTCTTTGGGTTCGGTGTGCTCGATGCGGGTGCCATGGTGACCCTGGCCAAGCAGTGGCACTCGGTGCCAGCACGCTATCACTGTGAAGCCGGCGAGATTAACAGCGCTCAGTAAGTACACGGAATGGGTTAACATAGTTTTTGTGTTTTTGTCGATACAGCTAAGTCCTCACTGTTTAATTTTGTAGGCCAATTATAATGGGTCGCTCGCTGTTCTGGGAAATCAAAACGGATGCTTGCAAGGGCACCGACACGGAAGTGAATTATTTGGAGCACGTGCAGGCGGTCATCACGGCAAATGCTTCGCGACGCGGCGACCTCGAACTCTTCCTCACCTCGCCAATGGGCACCAAGTGAGTGTGTCTCTATATATATTAAAGTCAAACCAACCCTTGATAATTGTCTTTGTTAGATCCATGATTCTGTCACGACGCGCCAATGATGATGACCATCGCGATGGTTTCACCAAATGGCCCTTCATGACCACGCACTCCTGGGGCGAGTATCCGCAGGGAGTATGGAAATTGGAGGTATGCTACTCAATATATATGAGAGAAGGTCGTGATTTAATATACTTATATATTTGTCCAGGCACGCTTCAATTCAGCTCAAACGCGACATGGACATCTAATGGAATGGTCGCTGGTGCTGCACGGCACCAAGGAGGCACCTTACCGCACACTGTCGCCATCGTCGCCCCACTCAAAGTTGGCCATCGTTAAGAAGGCGCACGAGGAGAAGAAGATGAAGTAAGCGATGTCCGCGTGTCCGTGAGCAACGTCGTCCATTGGTCATTCTGGCTTTTATCATTCAGTTTAGTATAGAGTGCAGAGAAATGTGCTGGCTGTGTTTTGTTTTAAATGGGATTGATTGAGAATTAATTTATATTTTATAGAATTGAGTTATTGATTCAATGTGTACACAGCTCATTTTGATTTTAAGCGAAATGTTAACTGAACTCAAAGTTCAGCTAACTTTCAATTTGACGGATTTCCAATATTTTTCTTAGTTAACTAATTTGATGAGCTATTAACTAATTAAGCACCCAGGGTGTAAATTTCTCCTTTGAGTTTCCAATAATAAGAATTTGTGGACTTTTTAAAGCGCACATTATTTTTTTTTTAGTCGAATGCAAAATATATTTTCAAAAACCTCAAATTTCGAAAACCAAAAAAAAAAAAGCGTAGTTGAAACGTAGCAAAAGATACAAATCCGTAGTAACTATCAAAGATTCGAAACAGGTATAGCATATGTGTGTTGCGGTAGTTTTTGAGCGACAGAGCGAGGGAATCATTGAGTACACAAAACTAAACTCCATAACAAAAACAAAAATAAAATAATATAAAATGTCTTGTAAATGTACTATATCTAACTATATGTATGCATACATACCTTATATGTAACTGTGTCCTATGCCCTTAGACTCTAACCAATATTATATAGCTTAAACATTTTGAAAGCTATTATAATTTCTCAAATGTTGAACTTTATAAAGTGGATAAAGTCCAAGCTGCAGACCGCTTCCAAAAATCTCTCTATTATTTATATTTATATTTACATTTATGTCTGTATTTGCAATTTTCTTTTTCCATTCGTGCATGTAAATTGCATACGAAGTTTTTAGTTTCTTTCGGGGGCCAAAAATAATAATAACGAGCGTAAAAACAGTTTATATTATAAACATTATAAAACATATAGAAATATATATACTATATAGAAAAGGGAGCATGGTATTTATGGAAGAAGAAGCTAAATGATTAATGATATATAGAAAGTACAAGTGCAGAAAGTTTGAATGTGTAACAACAGAGATGATTTGTTTAGTATACAAGAAATATATAAATTCATTAAAGGACATTGTTAAAGTTCATGGGTTAAAGTGCAAAGGAATGATATATACATATATATATATATATATACATTCACACATATTTAAATATATGCAGTACATTAAATGTGTAATTATTAACCAAAAGCGATGTTGAGCAAACATAAATTGAGGCATATAAATATTATACATAAATATACATACACAGGATATATATATATATAGTACTTATATATACACACACACATATATATATATATATATATATATTTAAATGTATAAAATATACATACACGCATATACACATATATATCATCAGAATAAATAACTTATATTGATGTAAAGTTACTTTGATGTTGTAGATACTAAATAACACACAAATACACATAAATGAAGTTGCAAAAATATTTAATGTCTAGCATAGATGTTAAACACACTGAAAATAGATATTTTCGAGCAGTATTTATGATTTGCCATTGATGAAATGCTTTTGTTAATTATAAATTATGAATTATTAATTACTATTATCATTATTATTGGCTTCTTTGATGCTCTTGTAATGGGCAAGGAAAATAAATCAATTTCATTTTGTAAATAAAAGTTGGAAAACGGCCTAAGCGGAATTTTGATTTTTCACTAGCCGGAAATTAAAGATTGCTTGAGGGCCTCACACACACACATGCGCATTCTCTGTGACTGTGTCTGAGAGAGAGTGAAAGAGACTGAAAGAGAGTAAAAGAGAGAGAGAGGGACAGAGAGAGGAGAGAGATTCAAGCTTGAAAAGCTTTATTTAGTAGCTGCGGCGCGAACCTGCACATGAAAACTCTATAAAAGCTTTACTAAAAGCTTTACCAATTATGGTAATGCCATCTACTTGAATTGAAAACATTTTCGCAACACTGTTTTCAAAAGTCTACAAGCTTTTCAACTTTGGCAAGTAAAACAATCATAAGGTTCAATTAGTTTTTCCAGCTAGGAACACACATATTGTTTTACAAGCAGGTGAGTGTTTGTGTTCCATGGCCGAAGTCAATTAATTATGCAGTACTAATTTAGCTGGCTACCTACAGGACATGCAGTCAAAATATAATTAATTAAAGCCAATTAATATGCCACAACAAGCTTGTAATATGCTGGTGAACAGAACACAGGTAAAGGCAGTGAAAGCAAGTCCCACGTTGCCCAAGAAATTGAATTAAGCAGGTGTGCTAGCAGTGTCAATTGTATTGTTCAATTGTTGACTCTTCCAATTAAGTTCACGTTTTATATTAAATATATAATAACTAAGTTGAACTGAAATGAGAATAAGCAAAAGTGCTAGAAGAAACTTTTACTAAGTTTCCCCAAAGAACAGGACTTGAGTTATTTCTTATGTCGCAACTATTTTAAATTGACTGGACCTAAAATTGTACTTAGCTTTTTTTTTTGAATCCTTGTCATCTGGAATGTCATGATTGTGTGAACCTCTCGACTTATCGACGGATTCTTAACTTTCACAGATGTAAAAAGCCATAAAAAAGAGCTAGCTTAGTTTGAAAGAAAGATGAGGGGTAACTTTTTGTGCCTTTTAATATGCTTTAGCCAGTGGAAATTAGAAAATCCAAAAAAAGGCAACCAGGAAAATCAAGAGAAAAAGGATTGAATGACTTAACCATTAAAAAGCATTCTAATTCCAAGCACTTTGAAATTGGAGCTAAATTTAATGTGAATTAAATTCAAAATCTGTGTCTAAGCTTACTTAACTTAGCTTATAATGTGATATACTCCTATTGGGGGCGTAAGTGGGCGTGTCAAAGTTTTTCGTCGCAGGAAATGTTTATTAACTATAAATTGCGCAACGCACAAGGCGCCGAACAGCTCGTAGGAAGGAAGGAAGCTAACAAATATCGGACGCGCCCGCAAAAACAAATAAAAATGCGGCCTACGCAAAAGCGGCCAAAATGGGTAGGACGGTCGGTTGGTTGTTGTTGCTGTTGTTGTTGTTGCTGCTGCTGTTGTTGTATTGAGTATATGGCAGGCTGTGCGTTCATAAATCATTTGCCTGCGGGCATATGATAAATTGTCATACTAATTGTTTTTAGCGTTCAAGACAGACAGGCAGCAGCAGCGTCTTGGGGTTTGGTGTGGGTTTTTTGGGCCCATTGCCAGGCTCATGACAGTGACGACAGTCCCGATGACGTTGGTCTGCCAATGCAGCCTGAGGCTGGCTGCATTTTTGGGGCCGCCTTCTTGAAAATGCCAAATTAGAAAACAAAACGATTTTGCCACTCATTTACTTGGCTTGTCAATTTTTGCATATCATTTGCCGCCCCTAACTGCCAGCTCGCACATATTAAAGTCTGATATTTGGGCCTTTAATTGTGCAACAGGGCCAAGCAAAGTTGGCCAAGCAACTGCAGTTGCCATCAATCAAAGTTGGTCGAGTCTGATGCACGCGGCGTATGCGCAACTTTAAGGGCGAAGATGATTTGAAAGAACCTGAAATACAGTTATGGGACTTTAGTTTGCAAATAGGTTGGCCACAAGTAACAAGTAACAAGTTTTTGATTTATGACACGTTTATAATGACAGCCAACTTGGCTGGCCCGGGTCAGTTGGGGCGTCAGCAACAGGTTTCTTGTCATGTTTGCCTTATGCGCTGCTCTTCGTTTTTTTCTTATTTCATTGTTGTTGTTGCTTTTTAAATAAATTTGTGTTTTAACGCTCATTTGACGGCTAGGGAAGATGGGAGGGAGGGGGGGGGGGGGTGGGAGGGGCTTATTTGTGTAAGCCCAAGTATTTGACACTTTAATAAACTGCCCGGGGTCGCGTGTGTCGCAGTCGTCGCAGCGCGTCGCCTCAGCGTGCGCTCATTAATATTAATGCTCAGTTTTGGCCAGTTTTCGCCATAGCCGAAAATTGGGCTAGCAGCGCACTTTAACCTGCGCCAGACACACACAAACACACACACACACACACACACACACACAAATGTCAATCGCCGAACATTTGTTTGTTTAATTTGTTGATAATTGCAGTTTAATTGAGCAGCGATAAGAGCCATGTTTGTTGCTACGGCAGCCCAGCTCGAAAACAATTTGTGGCCAGTGTTCAATTACAGCTGCCATTTTGGGCCATTTGCCGGCGTTTTGGCCCTCTTGCTAATGCGTGCGAGTAATTATGGCGCAATTGCAGTTGTCTGCTGACCTTTGGCCCACACAGCTTATGCCTAATGCCCATAATTGTTTGTGTTTTCTGACCCAGTAATTGCCATTATTAGCTGTTTGTCTATGACATATGTTTGGGTGTGCGAGTGTGTGTGTGTTCGTGTGTCTTGTATCTATTGCGGCTGTTGATGTCATGATTTATGGGCTAGTAGAATATAAGGCACGCGCTGGCTTTGAAAAATTTTAATTAGCTGCGCACACGCCGATATCAATTACCCAGTCGACTTTGGCCCGTATCGATGGCCACCAAAAATTTGAACCGCTAACGAAATCTGATCGAAACCGAAGAGGAAAATCTTTTAAAATTTAATTTATCGTATCGGTTTTTTGACTGTTGTTGGTCCTGTTTGCTATTGTTTTAGCTTAGTTCTGTTTGCGTTTGGTCTCAAGATAAACAAGCGGCAAAAACAGGAAAAACAAGCACCTGGCAACCTGACCCTAGGCCATGTTATTTAACTTTGGCGGGCCACCATATCAATACTATGACAGCTGCCCGGCAACTGTGTTGCGGAAAACTTTGCGGCCCTCATTTCGGGTTTGTATCTAACTTCGTATCTAAGTCGACAACGCCTGAATAAATTTCTATTTCTTTCTTTTTTTTTATTTTTTTGGTATATTTGTTGGCTAGCGGCAAAAAGTGATTAAATTAAATGTCGTTGCGCCTCGAGACTCTACAAGAGTTTTATTATATTTAAACAAATTGTACGCTTTTATCAAAATATAAATGCTGCCCCAGTGGCCAATGCCACGGCAAAATGAACAGTTGCCAAAGCAAAAGTTTGCTGCGCTCTCTCAGCTGATATATGGCGCCTCATTATGTGCATAAATGGGCATTGTTAAGTAGACCTGGCCAAATAGATTCAAGCCTGTTGCTGAGAGCCTTGCTTGCCTGTGTTTGTCTATAAATCTGGCTAGCAACATCCATCGACTGGGCCTGTTTATGATGAATTTCAATTGACAGCTAAGTGGCCATTTGGCTGCGCATGGCCTCAACCATTATCAATTAGAGCGTTTTCTCTATGTCCAATACACACACACACACAAACAAACAACACTTGGACACATGTAGACGTAATCAGATTTATGTGCAGCAATCAAGACAATTACTTAGCAATCTCTGGAAACTATACGAAGCAGCCGACCATAGTTGTTGCTGTTGTCGTTTCTGCCTCATGCTTCTTGTTAAATATTATTTATGCAATAGTGTTTATGTACTGCATGTCTCCAAGGAGCTATTTATGCCTAATTTAAACGCATTTGTTGCCAAGACAATGTGTCAATTTGTTGTTCTCAGCCAGTTGCTTAGCTCTTGACCATGGCCAGAGCGTAGCTCAATTGTGCGGCTTGGCACTTTGAGTTTAAATATTTAATATAGCTTAGATAACTAGTTGCCGTTACTTCACACAAACACACACACGCACACACAAGTGTATGTCTTCTCAGCTAAGAGTAACTGGGATAGTATAGTGCACCGCACGGCGAGCAGGAGTGTGCGTGTGTGTTGGTTAATATACCACCGAAGGTAGTCATTGCCTGTTGTGTGTGGCGACTAATGTGACACGGAGATGCGTAGTTTGGAGAGGTGTCTCCCTGAATAATATGAAATTATCATTGGCCAGAACCTACTTTAGTTTAGTTCCCAATCCAATTTAAGCAGCTCCCATCATTGCTTTGTCCTAGGAAATTATACCTTCCTCAATCAACGTACTCAAGTGTTTTTCTTTGATGCGGTTCAAATGAACATTGTCTCCACTGCTCAGAGTGGCTTCGTAAAGATTCGACTAACTTACTTGAATTTACCATTTTGGTAAAATATGCTTTTTTATCGAAAATTCAAGCCGATCTTATTCACACTTGTCTCTGTAAACCATGAATCCGCGCCTCATGGATGATAAATGCCGCTTTAAACTTGATTTATTTTATTTTTTTTCCAAAAAATCGACTGCTCTTGACGAACGAAAGTTTATTTTTCGGCGTCAAGATTCTAACCACTAGACTAACATGGGCGGAGTTGTTTACAAATAAATATGGACTTCAAAAAATATATGAGCAATTTGAACGTGCGGGAACCGCGTGCAAAAGATGTATCTGAGATATTGATAAAGTGAAATTATAGCTTGTCACGGGCAAGGCCGGAGAATACCCCGTAGGTTTTTTTTATATATGTCCTTACCTACTAAAACCTTCATCTTCCAAGAACAGAAAGAAGAATTCGTGTTCCATTTAAAGTAGTTTCTAAAAAGTTTATGTTAGAGCTAGACACTAGCTGGAAAGATTTTAGTCAGTTCAGCAAAAGCATTCAATGCGATCTGAGCAGTTGCGAAGAGGGACACAAAAAAGATGCTTGGCTTTACAAAAAACAAACATTCGCAAGAAATGCAAAATTATAATCAAAGTTCAAATCAAAGTCCAAATCAAAAATCAAAATCAAACTGATTTTACCGTCAGCTGCTGCTGCTGCTGCTGAAGCCAGTTGACTAATTAATTAATTATGCATATTTCCGCATAGTTTTTGGTGGCACTCGCTTTGTCCCTTTGTAGTTTTGCCGCTCCGAAACACGAGTAGTTCGCCGGGCTTGGAGTTTATGTAACGGAGTGCCCGAACGAACCAACGCCCCATTGGGGGCAGCCCTGGGGCGCTGTGTTAACGCTTAAATGCTCATTTATCTTTGATTAACTGTTTTTGGTTGTTTGTTGTCGCTGTCGGTTGTTTGTTTTTGGTTGTCGGTTGTTTGTTGTTGCTTGGTTGCCTGGTTGCCTCGTTGCCTGGTTGCTCGTGGCGCCGATTGCAACAGCTGAAATCGAGCACGAAATCAAAAATGAAACTGAAACTGAAACTTGAGCCACAAATCGCTGGCATCTTGTAAGCGTTCGCATCATTTATTATTTTAGTTACAATTTCGAATTTTCACTAATTTCGTTTTGCGTGAATTTAAGGCGCATATAAAAATCAACGTGCCCTCCACGCTGAACGCCAGTTTGCAACGTTTAGTGGCACACAACAGATCCGCAACAACGGCCATACTTAAGCTCATGATGCGTGGATTTTTGGTAAGCATTTGAGAAATTGAAAGCCTTCAAAATGGAGCACAAACTGAATGCAACCTGTTTTTGTGGCAGCTACTCTGCCTCGTTGCTGTGGCAGGCGCCTCGAAATTGGGCTACAATTATCGGGCAGCTGTCGATGACAGGCGCTTTGCCGGACTTATCGATACGGAGGCCACGGGATTTAGTGCAACGGATGCGCAACAGCAAAAGCAACAGCAACAGGAGCAGCAGCAGGAGCAATTGCAGCCCGTTGCCGATGAATTTAACAAGGAATTTTTTACATATTCGGCGCCCGAGGAGGACTTTGCTGATCGCGAGGCCACCGAACAGATAGCCAACATGCTGAAGCGCAATCTGCGCGTCCTGTTCATCAAGTCGCCGGAGCATCAGGGCCTCACCAATGCTGCACTGCAGCTGGCCAAACAGTCCAGCGAGCAGCGCACGGCCATCTATGTGCTGACTAAGCAGGCGGATCTTTCGGATCTGGCGCAGCGTCTGCAAACCGAACAGCAGAGCCATGCCCACAAGCCAGAGGTGCACTTTGTAAAGTATCGCACGCCCGAAGAGGCGGTGCGCGCCCAGCAGCTCATCCAGCAGCAGTTCAATGCGCTCGGCGGCAGCTCGCACAGTTCCGATGAGGGCGTGGCACCTGTACTGGACTTTAGCTCGGCGCCAGACGCGGAGGAGCGCGCCACGGCCCAAGCTGGTTCCGGAGCTAAGTATTTGCCTGCCGCGTAGCAGCTTTGGCCTTTGTAAATATTAGTTGCTCTTATTCAGTTTACATAGTATTAGTTGTTTCCGTTGCTCTATTCTATTAAAATTTATTATTAAGATTTAAACACACAAACCGTTCAAGCATTGAAATGTTGCAGCTTTCAGAATTGATCTATCTATTTAGGTAGGACTCAGTCTTGACTGACTAACTGACTAACTCACTGAATGACGGACTAACTGACTGTTTGCTGATCAACCGCATTGTCCAACCCGAAGCTGAAATTTGCACTGTAATCGAAAAGAAAAGGTAAGATGTAAAGGTAAGATGTTGTACGAAACTCTTTGGCTAACGAACCTATCTGATTTCAAAATATTTTCAGACATCTGTGTGAAAATTAATTTGATATGTGTTTTACACTTTTCGCATATTTCAACCCGCTTGAAACCCGTGAAAGGTTGAATGAACAAAAGTTTTTGTTGCTGCTTAAGCTCATTTTTTCAAGCTCTTCAGAATACAAGAGTCTTTAAAGTGCACGCTCTTTATTCAATCGACTCCACACTAATTTTTAAATATTTATTTAAAGTTTGATTTGGGATATTTTCGACGGGCTGGAAATTTGTGGCATAATTATATTCCTGCCACAGGAACAATCGGTCGAAAGAAGTTCTTCCCTTAAGCAAGTATTATTCGCAAAACGAATCCAAGTACGCAATTAAGGCGACTGGGCTTTAAGACAACCTTAACTGTCATGTGCGCTCAACGCATAGAACACAAGATACTTTTAGCCGTAAGTGAAAGCGGAAACCTAAAATGTAGCTTTTCATCATATCATATTATTTAATCACTATATTAAAAGTTATTCTTGCGAATGGCTCACTTTATGTAAGCTAATTAAAAGTATAGCATTGGGTGCAAAAACGTATTATTTTCCTTCTATTTTTTCCTAGAAACTGCATGATATAAGTCGGCTCTCACATAACACAATATACTATTCAACATAATAAACTTACGGCTATATTGGCTTATTCCATAACTAGTGAAATTACTCAAAATTATAAAATAAATAAGTTGAATGCTCGTCGGACGAAACTGGATACTTCGAATATAAAACCCTTGCAATCTTCCTCCGAGGTTAATTTTTGCGAAATGTGTGTATATATTTGAGCCCCTCCTTCCGCCAAGAAGCGGTGAATTGTGTATAAAGTGTGAAATATCTCAGAACTAAATTTGAACAATAGGTTTAAAACAATCGTTTTCTGAATTAGAAAGTTAAGAAGCTAAGCGAATGGGCATAGGGTAATAATTTTAGATAAAATGAGCAGACTTTTGCTTATGTTTAGGGCAGACAACTTTGAGGACACTTATGTATTCTATCTCGATTCTCGATACATTCTGAACGCATTAAAGCTGTAAATGCTTTGAGCATATCGCTGCGACTGGCATTTGAAAACGGATTCAATTTCAATTGTTGCCGTGCGTGGCAATTGCTGTCTGGGGTGCGGGCGTTGCAATTATGTTGGCACTATGAGGCAGCTAGCACGTGTGTGTTGTGGTGTAATTTGAAAGGAAAGCGAAATAAAAGTAAATAATGAAAATAAAACGTTGGCGAAAGGCGCGCAAATAAAAATAAAACGCTCCGGATATAAAACGAAGTACCGACAAAATGGCTGCTATTTGGCCAGCCAAGGAGGCAACCCCCCAATTGTCTATAATGTCTCAACTGGACTGCAGTACAATTCTTAGACAATTAATACAAATGACTAGCGTTTGATATAGACGGCTAGGAGGGGGTTGCCCGACTTAAGCCATAACTCACCGCATTGAAGCGGAGAGCGTGGCGTGGAATTTTTGCTCTGCCCGCCTTTTGCAATTTAATTAAACAAACAGATTGTGCTGTGGTTTTGGCCAACAGCAGCAGCAGCAGCAGCAGTTGGTCACTGGGAATTGTAATTTGCAGCGGCAACAACAAAAATGTTGGCCAAGTGCCGACGTGTTGGCAACAGCTCTAATCCGTTGTGAATAATTGTTATTGTTTTGGTTACTCGGACCGGGGACTGGGGAGACCGGCGAGTTGTGTTCTAAATTTAATTGTTTAGGATTGAGGTTACATTGACGTCCATTGCTGTCTGCCCGCCAGGAATATCGATTCTCTTTAATTGTTTTTAAAAAAAAAATTGTATATAAATATCATAGATATGGTACAGATATTCAAGCTTTAATGTATTACAGCCGCTGGCTCGGCGAATACACATAATAATTTATAAGTACTTCTGTATCCTAAAAGCAAAATTAAAGCCAGGTGGAAGTCTTGCCTTTAAGCACATTGAATGTCCTGGATGGTTAGGCATATCGTGTGTCCTGGCACCTCACGAATTGTCACTGTTTCGGTTAATGTGGCAAAAGCTTTCTCAGCAACAAAGCAGAATTGCGAGCCATGAGAAAAGCTACCATAGAATCAAAATTAGGCAGATGTCTGGCATCGACTTCAGAGCCACATCATTCATGACTTATAACGGGAGTACAATTTTAAAAAATTTAAAAAGAATAGTACAATTTGTTGTGCGCTTAACAAAAAACAATTTGGGCTTACAATTATTATAATAAAATAAATTGACTCACAAAATTCGACCGATTGACATTATACAAATTATTCTTAAGCATTTGATTCCCAGCTTTTGCCTGATTCTGTTCTAAGTCCTCGTCTTCATTCTTAAAAATCATAAAGAGTAGTAGAGTAAAGAATATATGTCTAACTAATTCGAGGACCAGCTAGATAAATATATATGTCTTGGAATGGTCGTCATTATTATTATATAAATAAGAACTGGAGCCTTGGCTAGGAAAATTTAATAATAATATTATTTTTTTGTTGATTTAAAGTTAACTTTAAATGAAAAGATTTCAAAATGTATTGTATGTGAATGATTTGAAAGTGAAGCTTAGTTCAACTCTAAGGAAGGGCACACATGTGGGCGAGTGTGTAAGTCAGTAGGTGAGTGTGTGTGTGTGCGTGCGTGTGTCGCTTTGTCGTCTCACAGCCAATTAAGCCACCTGAAATGAAAGAAGGGACGCACGGCAACATGAAGACCAGGAAGACAAGCCAAAAAGCATTGAAAGCGGTGCTCACAATCAATGTCTGCTTGGAGCTCACACCCGCAAACACACACACACATACACTCTCACACACACACACATACACTCTCACACACACACACACACATACACTCACACTATTAACGAGCGTGTCAGCGTATCGGTGTGCTTGTGCTCTAATGGCTTGACAGGGTTTTGTAAAGCTCAACTCTGTATATCATTATCCCTTTTGTTTTGGAAGCGTAAATTGATTCTGAAAGGTGACTTCTTGTGCTAAGCTGTCAAGTTAATTGTGGTCCGTTCAGCCCAGACTCGCCAGGACAACATGCACAAATTCACGAAAGCATATGAGTGTCTAGAAAGACGCGCATATTTGGGCTTTGATTGACTGCTCACATGCCTCGGTTTGCGGCCAATTACAGCACATGTTGAACGCAACAGCTCAAAATCGCCGCATGTGGCTTTTACTGCCTGACAGGCGCATCAAATATGTATGTGGAGTGTGGAGGTTGTGGCACGTGCGTTATTGGTGTTGATTATCTGTTTCTGTTGCCGGTTTGGCAACCGCACACCTCTGCAGCGACATCATAATTATCATATTTGCATTGTGGCAACCAAATATCCGTCAGTCGATGCAAATCGATTCCCCATTGTAGATGTTAGTCACATTATTATGTTGACCTAATTTGGCCTGCAACCACTTGACGGTCGACAATGGGCGGCTCCTTCGCGAGTTCTCCGCGTTTATGGCTACAATTCAACCGCAATTGCCACAGCGCGCGCTAATACGGCTAATAAACTGTACCAAAAATTAAAGCCACAAAGCAAATAGGTGTGGCTGTTGCATGTGGCAAGCACTTATCGGGTCAGGGGTAGGGGCTGGGGCAAGCAAAGGGTCGGCCTGCTGCCCAACTCAGGCATAGACAGCGCATGAACGAAAGCGAACACAAAACGGAAATGAAACTTATTAAAAGATTTGAATCTAATCGATTTTCGTCCCTTGCGCCGAAATAACTTTGCCGTTGCCAGCTACCAGTTGCCAGTTGCCAGTTGCCAGTTACGAGTTACCAGTAACGAGTTGTGTGGCATTAAAGTGGTGCGGTGGGGCGTTCATGGCTTTTGCCAGCCATAAATTTAATTGAAAACCCAAATGGTAGTCTGTCTTTGACAGACTAGAAGAGGCGAGCATGTCCATATGTGGCGTACATACATAGGTTTTATTAAATTTACTTTTGCGTCAAATAACTCAAGCAAATCATTGGCCTTAAGTGCAGAGAGTGGACGTGCTGGCTTCACCTGCACGCGCAGACAAATGCGATTTCAAATAATTTGAATATCCAATTGAATGTGTGCACTTATCATCACGCACGCCCACCCACCCACACACACATGCACACACCTTATAAGCATTCAGTGTCATAGCGAGCTCGGAGTGCATGGCCAAGTGGAGAGTCACGTTTGCCAACTGGCTAGCGTTTAACATGAATGGCAAGCCATGCACGGCATCAATTGTCTATTTGACCGTAGCTGTAGCCGGGAGCAGCAGCAGCACCGAATCGTTGGCAGACGTTGAAAGACCAGCTAGACAGTTCCCATTTGCAGCTGCCCGAGGGCCGGGCCAGGTTAGGCTGCGTTATTGAAATTCGTCCGAGCAGCAAAAGTGTTTGAGTGCATTCAAACATTCATACACTCGCACTGGCACTCAAATAACAAGAACAACTCTGCCAATTTCACTTCAGTTAGCAGCAGCATTAACTTTAAGCCTGAGAGGTTGATTTAGTCCTTTAAAATGCGGCAAATAAACATTTAAAAGTCACAAGAAAATGCTTTTATTTTAATGCCAAACAATTTGCCAACAATAAATTAAATGCCAATCAGACTGAAAACTGAACAATTTTTCGGTACTGAATACCTTTTTGTTGTATTTGTTTTTTTTTTATACCCTGAACCCATTAAAAATGGGTATATTGTATTTGTGCAAAATCCAAATGTATGTAACAGGTAGAAGGAAGCATATCCGACCCCATAAAGTATATATATTGTTGATCAGCATCAATAGCCGAGTCGATCTAGCCATGTCCGTCCGTCCGTATGTATGAACGCAAGGATCTTAGAACATATAAGAGCTATATACTTGAAATTAGAAAATTTAGATGTAGGTGCTCCTAGTGCCTGCGCAGATCGAGTTTGTTTCCGATAATCGATAACTTGATCCGTTTCCAAGCAATCGATACAAATCGATATCGTTATCCTGCTTTTTGGGCAATTTTGGTAAATAATAAGAGCTAGAATCCCCAAACTTGGCATATAAGTAGCTTCTAAAATAGAATATATATATGCATTTGATTTTAAAAGAAAAGGGTTCAGGGTATCCCCTAGTCGGGAGCTCTCGACTCAGTTTTGATTTGCATAAACGTTTTAAATATTTAACGCACTGCCCTGAATATTATCGGCCAGACACATTCGCTCGCAGTCTCATTCAGAATCATAAATATGTGAATCGACTTGATGGAACTTTATTGGAAATATGGTAGGTATAGTTGATTCGATATTTTAATCGTAATTACTGCTGCCCACAAATAATTAATTGTCAATTAAGCGATTAAAATTCAAGCAAATATTAATATTTTTATTTTGCTTAATTAAGACAGACGATTAATAAGGTAAATATATAATAAAACTTTCTTTTCAGTATTCAAATAATTATTATGCATGTCAGCAACTAATTGGTCTGATTTTGATTGATATATATCAAAAATTGCAGTGGGCCTTGTGTTAAGTTTGCTTGGTTACGTTCTTTTCGAACAAAACAAGCTAGATTTGTAAAATATCAATGATAAGAAAATTTAACCATATACAATGGCAAATAGATGGAGTGAGGTATAAAAAAAGAATATAAGACACATGTTTATTACTATAAATAAGAAATTGTTAAAAATCTGATTTGCGATGTTGAGCAAAGAAAATTGCGGACTAAAAAACGCATGGAAAAAAGTATACGTATGTATGAAAGCCCAACCTGACTAATAAATACATTTAGTGAAATTATTAAATTAATCCAAATTGCAATCTTTTAATGTTATCGAGCTGGAGCTATTGGCCAATAACAATTTATTTGATCAATATGCTTGTCTTTTTTATGAAAAGCATATTAAAATCATCAAATGTATAAAAACCCAAACTGACATTTATTTCACATATATTTTGTGCGACCGTATACTGATTTTCCTGCCTCCTAGAACAAGAAGAAGCAGTCGGAACTAGTTGTTATATTAGAATGGGAAAATATATAAAGTTTAGGTTCTGATCAAATAAAAATACCCTTAACGAGGGAATATCCATACTTTCGGCTTTTTTCTATGGAAAGTGTAGTGCATTAGTTGTATCGAACTATATATATAATATTATATATATATATTAATTAACTGCTCAATTGAAATCAATGGAAACGAAGAGCATCAAATAGTCGGTTATTCTCTCGAGTCTTTATTACTGCTGTGGATTGAGCTGGCGTTTTTGATTTCGCCTGAATTCAATACCATTTATTTAATTAACGTTAAATAGTGGCAACCAGCCACAGCTGCAGTACGCGCGCGCCCAGACAGCCACTGAATAAATATGTGTGAAAAGACATGTATTGATATAGATGTGTGCAAGTACTGCACGACACACACACACACACGCACACACATGCACATACAATCACATATGTCATTGGAAGGGTGAGAGCAACCAAAATCGAATTGCATGAAACCAAAGCCATAGCCAAAAGGATATGCTGGTCGAGGGCCAAAGGCAACTGGTGCGTGCGCAATTTTTGTTAAACTTGGAAAATTGCAGCGTGAATGCAGCAACAATTCAACAGCTGCACCAACTGCTGGCAATTTAATACTTTAAATTCTTTATAAGAAATACAATTTCTAATAAAATGTTTCCCAATAAATTGCAAAAATTAAACAATTGTAATTTGAAAGCACAAATATAGAAACTTTAGGTAATAGTTGTCAAATACAATGAAAACACTTTTAAGTACTGCCAAAAATGTGAATTGATCGGTTTTTTTTTATAAAGAAATAAAAAGAAGTCAATCCTCTTTACGAAGGAACTTTTTTGTTACTTATCAAACACGATATTGGCAGTTGCGTTAATTATACACGCGTTAAAGGTGCAGCTGCGTGCGTTTTTAAGGCACGGCCCAACACGAGCACGAAAAAAACTTTATCGAACACGCACTGAAAAAATGTACTCGGTCACGTTCCAGCGCAGCTCAAGAAGTTTTAAATTACTTTCTTCATTTCCAAATTTAAGAAAAGGAGTATATACTTTACTTAAGTTTTTCGACTGCTGTGCGTTGGAAAACTCGGAAAATTCGTGGGTTGGACTTTTGGGTAAGACTTGCGAGATATAAACCAGGCTTAAGTTGAAATTATTAAATATTTGAAGTTTGCCGACAAAGACAGATATCTACACCATCAGTACATCAGGTTGAAGCTGCAAACAAAGCGATACTCCATACTGAAAACTAACTGAGAAGCAGGACTTTTGAAAAGGTCAAATGGATCTTACTGTAAGGACCGCAAGGATACCTTTTCTCGAATGCTATCTTCGATCCTGTCCTGCCCTAAATTATTTACTAGGGTGATATGATATCATTTATAAAAACATCTGCGAGTATCTAAAATCCTTGAGACTTATAGTGCGCTAGTTGATAACATTCTCAGAATGGTTGACAATATATTATTACATAAGAAATCGTACTCTTAAATTATATGGTATATGGTGGTGCATTTGAATATGGTATCAGTGTGCTGATTGTTTCAATAAGCTAACCCTGAATTGTTGTTGCAAACTATTATTGCTCAAATCCAGCTGAAATAAATTTAATTGACAAAAAGTCATTGCTAGGTTATTTAATTTAATCCCTTAATCGTGTCGAGCAGCACTTTCGATTGCATGCCACTTGATCACGTGACTGTAAAAAATGCATTTATCTTTTTAACCGCCGGCAGCTGTCATAAATGGTGGCGCGCATGCAATGGCAATCGCATAAATACAGCAATTAGCTAAAGTTGCGTATACGAGGTGTTGCCTCACGCCACACGCTTGCGTGTGTATTTTACGGCCTGCGGCTTTAAAGCCTTTCATAGACCAACACTCACACATGTGTATGCAAATATGTGCATGTGCGAGTGTACATATAACTGTGTAAAATTGCAATCAAATTCTATAGATGCCACACTTTTGATTGCTTTGCCGTTGTCTATTTGCATCGATTGTTGGTGTGCTTGGGGGGGGGGGGGGGGGGGGGTGGGGTTGGTGTGGCAGGTGTTTGGATGTGCATTTGTCTCTGTGTGTGTGTGTGTGTGTGCGTGATGCGTGCAGATTCCAGCTAAGCCGCATTAGCGTCATTCAAAACGCGCATCTAAGCCGCGGGCCCATTGCCCAAACCCCACCTTGCACAACTGCACACGCAGCTGTTTACACTTCAGAGCCCGACGCTTGCGGGCGGTTGTTGCCGATTTTGGCTGGCGGCGGTGCACAAATGGCATACGACGATACATACATATTTAAGTACAAGAACAAGTACAAGCGATGCCGTCGTCGCCGTTTGGCCGTGTTAAACACGTATTCAACACATGCTCGACATGTCGTCTGTGAGTGGAGCTGTTCTTGTTGTTGTAACTATGCATGTTGTTGCCGTTCCTCTTGCCACAGCGGAATTCAGTTTGTATAGCCAGAAATCATTCTGGTGCACCCAGAGCGTTGCTTGCCCGGCAGCAATGGCAGCCCGACGCTATGTTCGAGTATTTACTCTGCTGCAAGCCACGGCAGTCTCTAGAGCTGTTCTTCTGTCTCGTCCTCTCTATATCTCGCTTCTTGCTCCCTGCGATTTCTGCCTTGTTCGACAGCATTTCAATTACTACAAATGATATTTCTCTGTGTGTATTGCAGGATGCGATGCGCTGCTCTGCAGCTCCCAGTCGGCATACTCTATCTGTGCAGGTTTTCGGCTATCACTCTTCCGCTCTCTCTTTCTCTACCTCTCCCTCTCCCACTCCATCGCTCTAGCACTTACATTTCATTGACTTTCGCACCTTTTCACTCTGAATTTTTATTCAATGGCTTCATTGCTGAGGACAAATTTTGCCATTTTCCTTGCATTGAAATAGCTGCAACTAGTTTTAGTCATGAAAATTGGGAGGCGGACTGATTAATGAATTACCTGAAAGCGACTTGTTTGCCCTTATGACGAAAATCGAAATCTTTTGTTCCGTCGGTCATTAAGTTAAATTGTGCGTGTGCGCCATTAAAAGTTTGGCTAGCCTTTGACTCTGTGCTTTACTTTTAATTATATATATATCACTGTCTATCTACACACAAGCACACAAACACACACACACATGCACACACACGATGTCAAAGTGGCCTGTCAACAGCCGTTGACCAGTCGCCCGAGCAATCGAGCGGTCATCGGACCAACTTTTGATGAGGGTTGTCATCGTCAGCGTCAAACAAATGAAAACATATGTAGCGGCAAAAGCAGCACCCACAGCATTGACAAGGACAGCAGCAGCCCAAACGAGTGTCCATATTAATATCAAATGAACTGTGAGCACAATCATGATGTGCCTGTGGTCCTGCGCCACCAAAAATGTGCAGGACAAAAGTTTGTAATGGCATGTGACATCTCTGGCAGGCGCACTGTCCCAAAGCTGATGACACAATTTTACGTTTCAACTTTGTGCTGCTGATTTTTGTTATCAAATTCTATTAACTAACTAAATTTTTAGCATACTTTGAGTTTGTGCAGTTCGAGTGTTTAAATTAGTTGAAATGTGTGTTTATTTGGCATGGGATCCTGGGATAAAAATGCAAAAGGGGGAAAATGCTGATCAATATCTGCAGTCGACATTAACAAGAACGCAGCAATATATTATATAAGTACTTATATTATAACGACATAAGCGTAGAACTAATTAGCGAGAAAGCGGTGGCCCAACTTCTGCAGAAATCGTTGATTTGTTGTTAATTTTGTAATTATTAAGAATTATATTATTATCGATCTCTTGGAAACGAGGCAAGTAACTGAAGACTAGTTTTTGTAACTCTTCATACATACGAACAGACGGACGCACGGATATAACAAGTATATATATAAACATATATACTACGCGCGTGTTTTTCATCTCGTGATAAAGTTAGACCATTTTCGAACAAACGCACACATATATAAAGCTTTTCATTTGGCACATGCTTAGCAAAAGTTTTGATTTTTAAAATGCTACACATTAAAATAGATATAAAAGATATATGTTTACATAAACTACTTATAAATACATAAATTTAACTGAAAACGCACGAAAATAAAAAAAAAAACAAATTCACATTGAAATGTTGAAACAAGGAAATGGTTTTATACTTTGCTTTATGTGTGGAAAGAATTGGGAATTTCAGTGCCTGATGGGGGCAGGCTAGCATGGCTCCGGTTAAGTTCAGGCCAGTGCGTGCCCTGTTGTTTGCTTAGTGCGGATAAAAAAGTAAACAGACACACACAAATACACACACACACACACATATGTATATAGACTGGCGTAACGTAATCAAGGGCTATCGCCTAGCGTACTAGTAGAGAGTACGTATGCAATCTGGTCAAAGGGGCGTGCCTTGCCGCCTGCTGCTGTTGCTGCCCGGAGGCCTTTGCCTCTGGTCAGTGGCCGTTGGCATGTTGGGCTCATTCAACTGGTGAGTGCAATTGTCGGTTATTGGCGCCCGAGTGCACACACGAACGCGCCTCGAACGACCAACTGTCGGCCGGACCGACTGACACATTGCTTGCCCGGGACAGGTTGAATCGCAAAGGCACGTCAGCCAACACCTGCAGTTGTTGTTGCACGTTGCTTCATTAAGTTGACGTGCATGCCAGAAAAAATGTCTACGACAGTAGCCTCAATGGCTCATTGACCGGCTGGGCGTGGTGGGCAGCTGCATGGACCAGGAAGCGAGCATTTTATCAGGCCACCTGGCAATAGTAGGCAATGTTCATATCTTAATTACTGAATGTTTGACTCAATGAACAACCAGTCGGGCAGCGATGTGTGTGTGTGTGTGTATGAGTCGGTTGCAGTTGACTATTATGCCCCTATAGGATAATCACTGTAAACTGTGGCCATTTATGCATATGAATTTATTCAAATCAGGACATGGGCAGGGCACCAGCACACAGTCGACCCTCCAACAAGCAGGCATTTTGTTTTGGCGCTGACGACGCTAAACTATTTTGCATTTAGAGCAGCCAGCGCTGGGCCCGAAGCCGTAGCCGTGGCCGTATCCAAGCCAAAGCCACTGGCACTGTCCCTGGCACAGTCGATGCCAAAAGCCTCGTCCTGCGCCCAAATACGTGCCAGCTACATGCATTCGCTATATGCGTGCCTGGCCACGTGTGTGTGTGTGTGTATGTGTGTTTGTGTGTGGGCAGCTTTGTTCACATGTTTTCACTTGCTGCTTAATTTGCATTTAAATGGTTTTTGCACTTAGGCTATTTCCCGTGTAAATGAGCTTTGTTTGCTGCTGTTGTTGCTGCTGTTCATGTTGTTGCTCCTGTTGTTGTTATTTCCTTGCCCAACTTAACAAGGCAACGCCAGCGGCCGAGCTCTTGTTTTATGTAGGCTCAACTTGCATTTCACCAAGGACGCAGGCCCAACCGCGGGCTCTGCGAGTGAACATTTTGTGGGTGCACATTCAATGTATCGCTCAGGACCTCGAAGCGGACTCCATGTCGTGGGTGGAAATTCCTGGAAGAAATGTAGTCAATGACCTGACTGTGCATAAGAGTGTTTTATCCAGTTATTTTAGGCTGTCTTTTCCATTAGTTTGTGTCTTGAAACTTGGCCAGATAAGAAGATAATGCTATAAAAGTCTGTAAGCCCCTGTATTCCCAGCCATCTTACATTTCCACAATTTAAAACATATCTGCCAATTTGTTTGCAATCTGAAAAGTCTTAACTGCAATTTAACTGATTTAAACCAAATTTGATTTGTTTCACAAATACTTGGACTGACTATATAGTATCTATTAAGATATATAAATTATAATATATTTAATGACATGAATAAATTAATAAAATTATGGTAAAGTATATTTACATTACAAACAATATAAATTATTAAATTTATTAATCACTAAATCATTTAAAATTGTTGTCAATATTTACCATTCCGCATGATTGCGACTCTGTATCAGAGTTTGCATGTTGAAACGGACACAACAAAATAATGAAAATTCTGATCTGCTAAAAAGTAATTGCCAAATGGCAAATTTGTATTAGATGCGAAAAACACAATGCAAAATTAAGCGCATATCGGAAGCTGTTTACATTTTGTCTGGCATAAACAAATAAGCAACAAAACAAATATTTATCTATGCATACCAGAGCTGTTTATATTTTCTATTTTCGCTCGTTCGCATAAAATGAATGCATGCGGAAAAATAACAGTAAAATGGTATTTGTCGAATTGTGACATGAGCCAGCGCCAGAGCCGAACTGCGTCCTCTGTGTCCTGTTCCTTATGGCTGAGACTGGGATTTAATGCGGCTGACATTTATCATACGCCAAGTTGGCAATGGGTTTATTGATTGCCTGCATGGCTGCATGGACAGTTGCGGGCTGTTGCGGGGTCGGCACATTCAGCCAATTAACTGTGGTACCTACCAGCCACGCCTTTTATGACTTAATAGCTGAGCTGACTTGGATATAATAAGTATGTCAACCAGCAAACACCAACCGAGCGGGCGGATAGACCATGTTCCCATTTAGCGCACTGTCAACTTTTGTTGTGGTCACTAATGATGACAGCCGCCCAGCCAAAACATCAACACACACACCAACACAAACACACCAACACACACACACTCACACTCACACACAGATACAGTAACACGGTGTTCCTCTAAACATTGTGTGTGTATTGCGGGTGTCTGTCTGCTTTTGTGGCCAGTGCCAACTGCCGACTGATGCACAAGCAGTCCGTGGCTCTCACATGACACAATTGTGTAGCCGGACACATACCCTCACCCCTCAGCCCGCCCTGTGTCCAGCCTGACCGCAACTCCTGGTCGGTGCCATATTGTGGTCAGACTTTTGTTGGAAAAGCGGGGCGCGTGGAGCGTCAAAAACAAGCTGATTTGATTGTTTGTAATTAAAAGTGGACGCAGCGAAAATTAAATGAGTATCTACGGGATATACGGACCACGTCCTCTCTGTGTGTGTGTGTGGGTGTTTGTGTGTTTTTTAGCTGGCGCATAAAACTTTATGGCCACGTGCCCGGTTCCTGTTCTTAATTTAAAAGTAGAAATCTAATAAAAATAAAAGCGTAATGCTGGTAAAGACAACGCTACGTGCCCGGACCCCGTCGGCAATGTAGGTATATACAAGGGTGTGTGGACAAATTAAACCTCGAATGTCTTACAAAAGTTTTCAGGGCAGTGTATTTGCGTTGTGCCTAACGACTAATTGATACGCCACAGTGTCAAAGCCTGCCCCGTGGGTGGGCCTGAAGGGACTTAAGACACTTAAAGGTGGTCCCAAATTGAACCAAAAAGATAGACGCCTGTCAACATATGTATTAGCGGCTGTGAGTAAATTACTGTCGTGGCAATGGGTCACAAAATAAGACAGCCAAAGGGTGTGAGAGAAACAAGAATAATATCCTGCAAAGGTAATACAAGGTGGTGTAGTATATACATATATAGGTATACAGTTTTTGGGCAGTCAACCAAATAATTGATATACTCTATTCATTAATAAATTTGAACTGAAATGTCCAGATATACATACTTAATACGGGTTGCTAGTGAAAAGAACTGTACGGAAACACATGTTGTTAAACCTAACAAGGTGTCCCAACACATGCCTTAAATAATTACACATTTACCCCAATAGCCCGTACTCATCGATACCAAACTTTTGACATGTTTTCCAAAAGCCTTGCATGTTCACATCTCGCCTTCTTGTAAATATTTAAATATGTATTAACACTTAACAAGTCTGCTTACCTATTTAAAAAAAAACTTATCACCTGCCTGCAGGTTTAGGTCCTCCTTTTCTTTTCACATGAACGGATTAAATATTTTGAAAACAAATGCTTGAAATTATTTTCTGAGCTGAAGTATTTTTTTCTCAATGTACTTATTGATAATTCATTAATTATATGTTAAATTAATTCAGAGTCAGCATAATCCTCGACAAAAGTATCAATAAGCGAATGTAAGAAAGCACGCTTTATTTTAAATTGAAATTGATGTTGAGAAAATACGAGTTTATTAATTATAATTTAATAGTATTTCTTTTGAGTGTTGTTTTGAGTAAAAATTTAAATTTTTCAATATCCGATTGAAACCAAATATTCACAATTAACCCAACCGCACGCTTTACTCCTCGATGTCTGTAGGTGGCAGCCAACAAACTGAGGTAAACCGCAGCCACAGCTGCAATAAATGACATGTTGCAACATTGCAACCACAATTAGCTCGCCTATTGGAAAATAATAGGGTCAAAGAAAATTGCGAAATATTTGCCAATATTTCGACCGCATTCGCAAAGCAAGCCCAAGCAGCTGCAAATCGAGCAAGTGGACGGTTTTCATTATATTCTGTAATTAATACTTAAGTCAATTTTATATACTTATTTTCGAATATAATAATTGATCCAATAGGCGTCTAGTTGACTTTATTGGACATTTGGCTCCGAGTATTGTTTGCTGCTGAATAAACAGCTTGTCTGGGCAAATAATATTATTCTTAGCAGAGCTTGCTGGCAACTCAAAAAGTAATCAAAACGATGTGGCTTTTGGGTTGCTGTCTGCCACATTTAATGCATTTAAAACGGCCACTTTGGCTGCACGTGCTGTGGGGTGGGGCGGCAGGCAAATGGCCAAGGCAGATTCAACAGCCTGTTGCATCCGTTTTCGCCGTGTGCCGGTTCCAGTCAGGAGTAGGCCAAAGCCTGTTGCGGTAGCGCAACAACTGCCCGCCCGGATAAAAGAGCGCAAAAGCTTTGCCACTCTCTCTCTCTGTCGCTCTGGGCAGCTGGAAAGCTTTTGCTCTCGGCCCGACGGATTCGTGTGGACAGTACTTGGATGGAAATGCTACTCCCACGTAGCGCTCGTGCGTGCTTGCCGTCGATATTCCAGCCTCGTCGAGTCTCGGCTATGGCATTTCAGTCTAGGATAAACGCTTGCGACAGCCACAACAAGTGCGCGCGTGTGTGAACAGCCAAATTTAGAGTCCTTTACAAGCCAATCAACTGAGCAGAGCGGCCGCACTGCAACCGTGTAGTGTAGTGTAGTGTGCCCGAAAGTGAAAGTGCAAACCAAGACACACCGGCAACAATGTGTGTGTGCGTGTGTGTGTGAGCGTGTGCTGAAGTTTTTTGTAAGCAGCTTGCGTACACGGCAGTAATTAAAGCGCGGCATAGCTCCACGAATCCTTTGGCCGCTTTTGATCGAAGGAGCTGCGCGCGTTACTCATGCGGCACTGCGAAAATGTAACTCCACCCCGACCCCATATTTGGATCAAGGCAATCAAATTAAATTAGTTTAGTGGCATTTTGTGTAGTGTTTAAATTGGTGCCAAAGCAAATCCGCGAAATAAATGTGAAGCAAGCAAACGCCACCGATTTGTGCAATTCAATTCAATTACCTACCCAAATTGTGAAGATAATCACGGATAGATTAAAAACCAAAACCATTTTGAAATTTTATTAGTTTTGGCAAACGAGCAGAGCAATTACATCTTTATAAAAGTTCTGTAAATTGTCAAAAAAAAAGAGAAGGAAAAAACCTAAACCTCAAAACCACCAACAAGAATTTTTAGCAACAGCAACTGGCACCACAACAACATCGGAAATATGTATAACTTTTGGATAATCGTTTTATGTCTAGGATTACTAGCAACTAAGTCAATAAGTAAGTCAAAGAGTATTTTCAATCAAATCTGAAATCGAAATATTTGCTCGACATCGGATTGTGCGCTCATCTTTAATTGACAATTACGATACATCATTTTTTGGAATTTTTGTGTGACAACAGTCAAGAGATTTATGGGGAATAAAGTCAATTTCAGTTTTAAATCGAGTTCAGCTCAAATCGAGCGAGGCTTATGCAATTTTGTTATTTCATTTTAATTGAGTAAAGACTTTGAAGTACAGCTGAAGGTGCATTGTGTACATTTACAATGCAAAAACCGATTTAGTTTCAGTTACAATAAATTCATTTAAATCGCATCGTGCTATTAATTGATTCTGTTGAGCGTTCTTCTATTTACAGAACAAAAGAAGAAAGCTTAATTCAACCTTCTACAGAATTAATCGGACAATTTTAAGCTTTGCTGTCGGGTGCAGTCGACTGTGCTATACTCTACCTACATAGAAATTGGCTATCGCTAATAGAAAGCAAAGCTTCTTCGGGCAAACCCGACTAGGATATACCCTAAGCCCAGCTACAAGCTGCCGTTTCGAACATTCTAGCTTTCTAGATTCCCACACTTTCTGGAAGTGTTTCAGTACTTATACTCTTATTAAATTTTCGGGGCAGAAATATGACTCAAAAATAGTCTATTACTGTTTCCCCAATAATGAGATTTAAAATTTTATTGGGGGAATGGGGCGAGGTAACTAATAAGCGAATTATGGTAAACCTTATGTTCACATGATTATTATATTATTACAAGCTAACATCTTGGACTGACTAAGGCTCTTATCAAAGAAGTCTTTTTATACAGAGCTATATGCAATTCCCTTTCCGAATGGAACCCACTTTCTGACATATGTTTAGCCTGTTAATCTCTGGACAATTCTCTAGAGTGTGTGTTTGAAGTCACAAACTTGTAGCTTGTATTGGTACTTGCGCATTTTGCTATGCCTTGTTGGACAGTTGGTGATTATTCGAAGACTTGCCTCACCTTCCGACATTAAATCTTTGGCAATGTTTAACATACTTTTACAATTGTCACAGTTTGTAAAGGAATGCTTTGATTCACAAGCCAGAAGCTAGGCAGCTTGCCTTGCTTTTTGACCAGTTTCTGACTGTGGCATATGAAACAATGGTAAGTTAGTACAGTGAAAATACTCCCAACGTACATTTCTATTAGGCAGACTCCCCACGTGAACGGACATTTCCTCTCAAACCATTATGAAATAGATTACACCTACCTGTGCCGCCTGAAAGCAGGGCACTCTTGATACAAATTACGTGACAGTCGCCGTCTGTCCCAGTCAGTTTGCACTGTATTTGTGGTATTCTCAACAATAAGAGACACACACTCGCAGAAAATTGTTCCATTTGCTGCAAACTCTTTTGACCAACTCTTTATAAAAGTTGGTCAAATACCGCAAATTTCGAAAGAAAATAAAGGTGCTTAGTTGCTTTAGAAAAAAGGTGCATAAATATGCTCATAGGCTAAGGGCTAAGGGAAGCCATTGAGTTCAAGGCTTCTGGTAGAAGATGGCTTATTTTTGGTTGCATATTTATGCAATTGCTAAGTGCGTTATCCGCATTAAGCTACTGCAGCGAAGAACAATTTGAATATCAAATGCCAATTTCAGGCTTGACGCCCACAAGGAGCCTTGGGTTAAGTTTCGGCTGCATGCCTCAACCTTAGTCAACAATTTATTTATAAAATTTTGCATTTAAGTTGAAATATGCATATGCAAAAGGAGGCGCCAGCAAAGCCACCCCCTGGCTAATTGCAAATGGCGCGCAGGCATGCAACCCGCCCAAATACCGCCCCACTGCGCAGACATTCAGAACCGTGTTGCCATGCCACTCTGGCCGAGACGTGCTGATTTTCTTGAATGCCACCGACCTTGTCCAATGGAATGTCACGCAGTTGGTCAGTTGGCTGGTCCTCGATACCTGCCCGCACAGCTGCTTCCTGCTTCCTGCTGGCTACTGTTGATGCTCCTCCGGCAGCTGTGTGTTTTTTCATAAGCCTCATGAATAATTCAGAGGGCACGCTTCGATTATTTACTTCATAAACATTCTGCTACAGTCGTGCCTGTCTGTGTTTGAACATGCATGTATGTGTATACATACATTTAGAATGCGTTAGTATGCATCTTGGCATTTTATGGCGCGTACAAGTTTTTAATTTTAATAAATTGTTTTGGCTGGCCAAATATTTGCGCCTGCAACAAGCAAAGCACTTTTCTGATAACTCAAAATGCCCTTAGTTGTTTATTAAGCTGTTAGGCAAGTCGGTGATTGCAATCTGCATGACAAATTAATTGGGCATATATACTATATGGATAATTTGATTTGATTACTAAACCAATGAGCAGGTCGGCTGCGGCACGTTAATTACGACAGCTGAAAAGTATGCCACAGAATTAAATTTAATTACAGCTTCATTTTGGGGGGCGAAAGTTAATCAAAAACTCAATGAGCAGCTCGTAAAGACAACAACCTGCCGCGCCTCAACCTTTCGCCTCGTATCTATTACACGTTGTCGAGGCAACGTAATCGCTGAAAAATTAATACGCCAAGGAGCAGCAGGCAGCAGCATCGACGCCAGCCAGGACGATGAAGTAACAAGGATCGGTGTATGTCGTAAAGCACGTTTGGGCCATATTAAACCGCCAATGGCTCAGATACGAGGCAGCATCGTATAAAATGTGCCGTTGCCACAGTAAAATCAATTTCAAGTCGTTAAACGAAATGAACCTTATGGAGAGTTTCCTTTCTGTGGCTGCTTTCTTGCGGAAGTGAAAGTCTCACACACACACACACACACACACACACACACAACAGACCATTAGCAGTTCTGATCGTCGAATTTAAAACACGTCGCCATCTCGGGAAAGTGTAATCGAAACGCGGACTCAGCAACTGATGCGATTATTATTGATTTTTTCCTTAACTAAAATTGGTTGGATTGAATTATTCATATGGGCGGGCGAATAATGGCAAGTGGCAAGTGGCAAGAGCCTAATTGTATTGTACGAGCGCCACATTGAGAACTCTCAACTATTTATTTAGCTGAACCACTGAGAAAAGGTCGCACGTGATGTGGCTGACAATGATGTTAACGATTACCATCATCATTGTCTTAATGCTGATTACTGTTTGCTTAGCTCTTAATGTCACATTCAATTCAGAAATTTAAACAAAATATAAATCAATTTGGCTGCATAAACAGAGTGCATTTATATAATTTACATCCAAGCAAATATTTTGTCAAACGCGGCAACAATGCGGCGATGGCTTCAGGCCAACGCTGTCCTTCGTTGCGTATACTTAATGTGCGCACATGTCCATATAAATGTAATAGTTATGAAAGCCAACAGCAGCGGCAGCAGACGCCAGAGATACAATGACAACAAGACGGCAAGTGTGTGTGCTCTGTGCAACCTCAATGGCAGGTCTAGCCACAGGCAAACTCAAGTTGTGAACGAACACACACACACACACATGTTCACACCAAGAGCATATATAGTATATAGGAGGACAGGCGGGGCTGGGCGATGATTTCGCCTGCAGCTGTCTGACAGTCAGAGCTGCCTTGCTGCCTTGCTGTCTGCCTGGCTAGCTGGCCCACATTTGACGACTTTGACATTCCACAAGGATCCGTCGCCCCTTGCTGTGATTTTGACTTGTGCAAAGACGTTTTTGGCATATCTAATGAAAGTTATTGGCCGACAGACACTTGAATGGACTAGCTCGCGACTTTAAAAGTCGACGCAGCCAATGCATAAGTATTACGAAATTGTCTATAAATTGTTGCCGAAATATGAACGCCATGGGCAAACTTTTTGCCGGCTTACAGTATCGAAGTTAACTTGAGCGTCTAAAATCAGATTAAAGTAAACATTGGCACACATGGCACCCGGGCTGCGGCTCCGGCTGCGGCCCTAATGTACAGCAATACAATTTGGCTAGGCTTGCAGGTAGCAAGCATTTGGCAAATGACTGGAACAATTTTGCACAATTTGGCACAAAGACAATCAAAAAGTTATAAAACAAGCTTCGGCAAAGCGAAAACAATGGAGAACTGCGGCCAGAATTCCGTAAAGCCCCAATGCCAAATCACCAGCCCAGCCAGAGCCTAAATGATGCTGAGCGGGAATGCGCTGTCTTCTACGGAGCTCTGGCGTGTGTGTATCGAGCTGTAAAAACTTTGGAGAAACTTTCTGTTATTTTCCTTTTTCCTGTTTTTTTCTGTTTCTTCGGTTTTTTTTTTTTTTTTTTGAACGTGTTACTTGTTGGCATTCGCTTGTTGTACCTGGCTGGCATTGCGCATACGCCACGTGGTGTTATTATCAGCCGCATCAGCGGCGCCGTAAAGTAAATGCAAAGTGTGCAAAGTCTATAAACGAGCGTCAAACTTAAAAGCCCCAGGGTGGCGGCGACTTGGCAAGGACGTTTAGAGCCTCGGCAACGAGAGCGAGAGGAGCCAAGTGAGAGGGGGCAGACACACAAGTTTATCGGCAGGCAAAGCACAGAAACAACTGAGCCTATCAAAAAGTTGCTCATACGACAAATTGTCACTGTGTTGGCAAGCAGCGTCGGCAACGAAACATGGAAAACGAATTTTATATTTCAGCTTTTGCTATTATTTATATTATTTATGATGTTTTGGGCAATGTCGTTAAACTGCGGCCATTAAAAAGGTTTTCCTATGTGTGGGACAGATGTCAGCTGCTTGAAGGCGGTACAAAGAAGGAAACTCCTACAAAACAATTATGCCTAAGTGCAGTGCCTTAAATATTCATGAAGCTGACAAAAAAAATTCTAAATGCTTTGAAAGAACAGAGCACACTTTTGAGGCGCCATCGAGCACTGCCTAAAGAGCTCTTCGCAAATAGATAAATTTGCTGGCAAAAAATGCTATACATAAATGCAGTTCTCAGCTATTTATTGAAGCGTGGTTTTGCAGTCAAAAACATTAAGCTGAAAACTATTAAATTGTC